AGAAATTCAATTGTATTTGTTTTTATAGACATTGGTTAATTATCTTCAAATGATAAATATTCCTAGTTCTATTCGAACTATAATTGGACTAGTTTTATCTTCAGTAGAAAAACCAATTATGCAACGAACAGTAAAAGAATATCTTTGGGGTTATGAAGATCCCATATTGAATATATTAAAAAAACAATTACCTCAATTAGTATCCAATGATCAAGTATCAGTTTTTGCTTCTGTGGTAATATTGAATGAAAATATTTTTTTGTTTTCTTGATCCATTATTTCATTGAAGGTTAATGAAGCACAATATGAAACTATTTTAATAAATAATGGTGTTGGTTTTGATATAAATCATACTGAACGTATAGATAATGTTGGTAAAATTGAGCGATTTAATTTTTCAACAAATTTATCCATATGGTCAAATAAATATGCAAATATGATTAATGGAACAGATAGTACAATATGGCATCCTGATGCAAGAAAAGATGAATTAATATATACATTTATGAATGATATTTGTCGTTCGGTTTATCTTAAATTTAATCAAACACGTCAAAATTCATTTGATATTAGTACTTATCAATATACATTACCTAATGATGTATTTGCAAACTCAAGTGATAATGAAGGATTTTGTTTAAATTCTTCAACAAGTGATAACATACAACAACTTAAATGTCTACCGAGTGGATTGTTTTCATTAAGTTCATGTATACATTGTAAGTTGACTTGAATGAAACTTAGAGAGGGAGAGAGAAAAAAGATAACAATTACAGGTAGGTTAAAATATCTCTGATAAGACGTTACGACATGTGAGTCATTTCGCAAGCATCATATACTATTGCTCTCATTCGTTTAAATTCTATTAGATTTTTTTTCATATTTATTATTTTCAAACAAATAATCTATTTAGTAAGTGGTAGTACATTCGCAATACCATTACCAATTATTGCATCGAACCCACATTTTCTTGCTACGGATCGATCAGTTCAAGATGCCATCATTGGTTTAATGCCTGATGAAATGTTACATCGAAGTTATATTGATATAGAACCGATGACCGGAAGTAAGTGATTATAATTAAAATAATACCCAAGCAGACAAAAACTTGGAGAAACGCGTTTAAACGCTCAATCGGGAACCGCGATTGTATCTCATTCACGCTCGATAAAACAGCGTATTTTTCTCGAGCGTAAATGAGATACAATCGCGGTTCCCGATTGAGCGTTTCTCCAAAATTCTTGTCAGCTTGGGTATGTATATATGTATTTTTCAAATCTTAGTTGTTATGAATGGTTCTCGTCGAATGCAATTCAATCTTAATGTTATTAATGATTCAAAAATAAGGTATAGTTACATATTTTATTTAAATTAAACATAATCATACTTATATTATAATAGTGGTGTTTCTCATGTGAAATCATTAGTTTATCCAATGATATGGGTTAATGAAGTAAGTATTTAAAAAAATCTGTACGATAAAAAAATGATGATTATTTTTAGCATGCGGAAATTGATAAACCAAATGCAGATATATTTCATAAGAAAGTATTTCGACCATTAACAGTACTTTCTGTTTTCAAATATACTTTTCTTGCATTTGGTATTGTTTTATTAATAACTGTGATTGCTTTAGTTACTATTTATCAATACAAAGTATGTTGTTATTTCGTTTAATTCACTAAATATTTTTTTTATGTTATTATTCTTGTTTTTAGAAAAATTTAACGGTTGTTGTTGTTGAATCAGAACCAACCGTTGATGAAACTACACCATTAATCAGCGAATAAAAAGGATTTAAAAAAATATTTTGTAATCAAGACGTCTTTCATTATTCCTGCTTTTGCCAATGCATTTTTTCTCTCTTGTAACATAGATCTGCTTCTGACTAATTCTAAACTCAATCAGTACTATTATTCTCTTATTTTTTCATATTATTCTTGTAAATAAATAATACAAATTTAATCATCAAATCATTCTTATTACTAATAAAAGGACATCATACCTAAGAAAAATGTATTTATTAAGATATTTCAAATAAATAAAACTGGTCACAACTTTTGCTCAAAGCACACTATATTTGTTGTTGTTGTTCACTGTATGTTAATTCCAAAAAAAGAATATATATATATACATACAAACACAATTTGTTTTTTTTTCACACAAGAAAATCTTCGATTTCTTCAACAACTGTTCTATTAGGTATGGGTCGTGGAATATTTGTTACTACTTTTGGTCTTTGTAATTTATCATTTTGTGGCGGAAGTTGTTTTGAATTCGGTTTTGTTGTAGGTAAAGTATTAGCTTCTGATGATGGTTGAGTAAAATGTGATTCGAATGAATTTGGTTTAGTTTGGGGTTTATTAAAAAAATCATCAGGATTATATATACGATTTGTTGGTTTATTATTCGCATTATTAGATAAAGATTCAAATGGATCAAGAGATGGTCTTTTGGCGGTTGTTGTTGCTTGAGCAGTAACAGGTTTTCCATCGTGTAAATTAAGTACAGCTTGTTCAAAATCGTATACGCTCGTTACTACACGTGGTGGTGGTTTTTTCGGATTATTATTTGTCGGTGCTGGTGCAGGAGGTGGTTCAAACGTAATCATCGATGGCTTAGGTTTTTTCTCTTGTGGTTCATCCGTAGTTAATTTCGATAGAAGATCATTTTTAGCGTCTTGTTCTTTTTTCTCATTAGCAAACATATTCAACCATTTAGAATCAAAATCACGTGTTGGTGGTTTTATTTCTGGTTTTACTGGCGGCGGTGGCGGTGGTCCAATAGGTTTATGCATAAGTTCAGGAGGTGTTCTTTGTCTTTGTGGTGGAAGTGCAATACGTGGAGGTGGTGTTGGTGTTCGATGTTTTAAATGTGCTGGTTCAATTACAACATCTTCTTCAAATTCACTATTGTCATCATCATCATAACTACTTGGTGTCGATATTCGACGAACTGGAGATTTTACTGGTGCTAAACAATATTATACAATAAGTGTTTTTGAATATTTATGGATTTTAATAGTCTAAGTAGACTATTAGGAATAAGCATAAAGCTAATGAAAGCATTCGGAAAATATCAAACTTTTGTCGATACTTTGCTTATAAAGTTTAACTAAAGATTATCGAGATTGAACAGTCTAGATCTATGAGTAATTTCTTAAAATCAAGTATAAATTTAGATTTATCGATTCTCAAAAAGGTCTATTCAAACTTTATAGAACCAATATCTAGTGAAAACCTTACCAATTTTAATTAGTGGTGGTTTTTCTTCGTATATTACACGAGGTGGTTCTGGTGAAGGTTGTTTTACCTCTGGTTTTGGTTTTAGTTTTAAATTTATTGAAGGTACATATACTTTTCTTTTAGGTTTTGGTGGAGGCGTTAGACGTAATGGTGGTGGTTTTGGTTTATCTTTATCTTGTTCACGACGTTTTTTATCATAATCTAACATTTTTTCTCTAAATTGTGGTGAAGTATCATGAACATCTTGAAATGAACGAGATTTTGCTAGATTTACTGATGATGAATCTGATGGACGTCGACCACCATGTTGAATATAAATATGCATTGTATCAACTTGTCGTGATTTATTTTCATATTTAAGTAATAAATCTGTATATTTTTTTGATTGATCTGCTATGTCATTTTTAAGTTCACGTCGTTTTATTAATTCTTGTGTAATCTCTTGACGATATTTTTGTTCAAGATTTTGAATATATTTTTCCTATGAAAAAAATAAAAATTTCCTAAATTATGAAATTTTCTTTTATTCACTTGTTTTGAAATTTTTTCTTCAAATTTTTTTAAATTTTTATCAGTTTCTTTAAATCGTTCACGTAAATCATCATAATCATCATAATCATCTTCATTGGCTATTAATTTTTCATAAAATTTGACACGTTTTGTTTGATCACGTAATGTTTGATCACGTTCATCAGCTTCTTTTTGAATAGCCATTTTAGCTTCTTTTTCATCATGAATTTGTGTTTTATAATATTCAATTTCATTCTGATACTCTTGAGCAACTTTACGTGCAGAATATTCTTGATCTTCATAGTTTTGTAAAGATTTTTCTTCACGTTTTTTAATTTTACGTAAGGTTTTACTCTCAATACGTTCTTCTTCTAATTGTTGTCGTATTAGTAATAAACGAGATCGAAGATCTTTTAATTTTTCATCTTGAGCAGATGATACACGTTGTTCAGCATCACTTTTAGTTTGTCTTGAAGGACGAGATTCTGCAACAGGTTTCTGACGATTTCTTGGACGAATATAAGGTAAATATGGTGCTTTACGTGGTGTACCATCACTAGGTGTTGTATATGAAGCTTTAATTTCTGAATCACTAGTACGACGAGGAGCTTCTGGTGGACGTTGTTTGGGTGGTGGTTGTGAATTAGGCTTCTTTTTATCATTAATATCTAAATCGATAAAGTCCGGTATGAAATTTCATGAATAGATTTTACAAACAAACCTGATTCATTTGCTTTTGCTGGTTGCGCATCTGATGTGTTCTTACCGTTTGTTGTCATGGACGGGGTTGTACTATTTACATTAGCTTTAAAATAAAATATGAGAAACAAAATACACATAAATGAATATAAAATAGATTAAAAACTTACGTTTAGTTTCTGAAGGTGTTTGACGAGTATGAATAAGTGGTTGATTTCTAATTAAACCTGAAATTCCTGATGATGTTGGTAAATTATTTTGTTTTGATTTCTTATTGTCTCCATCCTTATTGAAATTTAATTCAGGTTCAAATTCATCTGAACTACCACCTGATCCACTACGTTTAGGCATTGCAAATAATAAGCTTTTATTAACCTATATAATTACAAAGAAATCTATCTATAAATAAGAAAAAAAAAGAAAGAATTTATTGTCAGATATTGACGCAAAACGAATCATTGCTGCTATGCAAAAAAAATAATAGCATAGTAAAAGTAAGCAGAACACATGAAAAAAACCAAGGTAACGTTGTCGTCTCCGTGTGTTTATGTTCATTTTACCTATACCAACAACAATAAATCATCGATCAGCCAGTCACAGAAAGAATGAAGTCTATCAATACCATTTCAACTATTATCGTCACTCTCTCTCTCTCCTATTTCACTATTGAATAGAGAATTAAATATTGATTTGATAGGTTTGAATAAAGTTAATTGATTATTATTATTCTTCTTTTTTGTCACATGGACATAGATGGTTTACTATGTGTATGTGTGTGAGTGTTTGCATGCGATGCAATATTGATTTTATTTTTTAAAGAATTTCATACAATAGAAAAAGACGTATATAAACCTAACGTTTTTTACCAAAACGCAAAAATCCCGTATCTCGTCGTGAAAATTGATTCATTCTATTACCAAATAAAATATCTTGTAATTGAAAATCAAACAATTGTTTTAAATGTATTATTTTATTTAATTTTTCATTATTATTAACATTATTTTCATATGGATATAATAATTCTTGAGAATTAATACGATAAGCTAAATAAAACAAAAACGTACAGATCTCTATGAAATACGCAAAAATCAATAATATAGATCAAATAATCCTACCATAGTTAATCATTGATAGATTTAATATTATCAAGAAGATTACAAGAATATTTGAAAACATATTAAATTCTATGTTCTTTAAGACAATTTTTCTTTAATATCAAAAAATTTTTATATGAAAATTTTAATAAAGAAAACTACTTCGGTAGATTTTTTTCTCTTTGCTAAAGTATGTCTATGTCAATCAAAAATTTACATTTTGATTACAATTAATGATTAAATGAACGAAGAAATTTGCTCACCCTCTTCATACACGATTTTGATATAATATTCAATGCGCGAGAGTGAAAGTGGAAGGTATATGTAATCAACATCTTGAAATCGTTTTTATAAGAACGGAAATAATACAATAGATTTCAAAATTATATAATATCGATTGAAAAAAAAACATAGTGAACAAATCGATGCACATATTCTTACATGATACATTTAAACTTACTGTAAAATAAATGTGCTATATAATGTCAATCTCAATAACATTTCACTATATCATAAGTTTTTTTTTTATATTATTTTTAACTTCCGGTATACTTATAAAAATGATTCATTACATCATAAAAAGAAATAGTTGGTATTTAATCACTGATAAGTAGCTTTGATTTATTCTTTAATTTTCAATTTGTCAATCCTATCAATAAGAAAGAACAACGGTATTATCACGCGTTGAAGAAAATCAACAAACAAATAAACAAAAAAATATCTGATTGATAAGAAGAAAAGGAAGACGAAGATGAGATAGAGTGAGCGAAAAAAAAAGAATATTATTCAAAATGATGAAACAACAGTTCCAAGAAGACCATCAATAATATCAAGTGAATCTGTAAGTGTATAAAATAATTGTGAGCGATTTTCATTTAAATATTCTAAATATGCTGGATAATCATTACATTCATTTAAATGTTCAATATATTGTAGATGATGATCGAATGATGGAGATTTTTTAATGAAAGAACAATTAAATGACGATGATTTATTTAATGATGTTGGTGATGTTGTTTTCTTAAAATTATCTAATAGACTACGTGCCCATGAACGCGAATCTTTTTCGAAAGCTACTGGACGATTATAAAGAGATTGACGTGTTAAATAATCACTTGGAGATAGTTGTTTGGAATCTAATAAATGAATAAATTAAGAAAATAATCAATAGAAAATATTTTCTTTACCATATTTTAAACGATTTTGCTCAATTTGCCATTGAATATCTTGATCATGTTTTAAAGTTTGTGCACGTAAATAATCCACAACACATAAACTTGGTGAACTTGTTGATATTGGTTGAAGTTTTTCAAACCAATTACAAATTTCTTGTCTATCATCAAATGATGATGAACCAAGTAATTCTGTTATATCAAACATTTTCTTTTTATTATTATTATCATTATTATTATTTATTAGTTCTATTGGTGATGATTCATTTATAAGAGATATGTCAGTTGCAGCTACGAACGAATGATAATCACTTGTCGATAAATCAGACTTTAGATGTGTTGAACTTTCATCTTCTTCGTCAAGGGCATTTAAGGGATCTAGAAGACGAAAATAAGTTAATAAGAAGAGAAAAATAATTAAAAAATATACATACCCATAGTAAACATCATAAGATCATCATCTAAGTCATTATTACTTGAAGTCATTAAATCGTTCGTATTCACAAGTGCTTATACAATCTGAAATTCAATTAGAAATATATATATATGATATTTGATTTAAAAAACATTTTCCTTAAAGACATATTTATCTATTTTATTTGATAATAATCCACATAGCAACCATTCTGTGTGTAACCAAGGACAACTTTTTTTAGAAAAACCTCGATATAAGTGAACATGTGCATTTTGAAATGTCAAATTATAGGACGTTGTTAATTTAAAATTACGACCGCGGTGGTGATTATAGGCAAATTTTTCCATGCTAATACTGACGACGAATGACAGTTCAACCAATCGGTTCGCAAAGAATATAAACACGAGGTCAAAAACAAAGTGATTTATAAGATTAGATTTACCCTTCTTAAAAACTATTTTTATTAATTTATGTATACCTGTTCTTTTCTGCGCATAAGTAAGTACTAGGAGTAGTCAGCGTAGTATAAGAAACATGTTAATATTGGTTATGAAATAAATAAAATGCTATATATCACTTACTCACTCAACTGTGTCAAGGACTAATACGAAGAAGCGAAAATCTGATCTAATATTTGTCGAGTAAGAGCTACATTCGAATAAAGAAAATTTTAACCGTACAGTATAGATTTCAAAGGGAAAAAAATCGATCTCTAATAACGTCAATATCCTTACGTAGACTTTAATGAATATTTCAGTTTTAACTCTATGGTATTAGTTATGTATCTATAGAGCAAATAATCGTAAACAGTTGGAATATCCCTTCCTCTTATGAATAAACTTCAACAGTAATAGTTGAATGTACTACTTATATTTAAGAAATATATGAGTCAACCATGCTGCTAAATAATTTTATAAATCTAATAAAAATTGATATGAACGATATTCGTCGCTCAGAACATATCAAATTGAAAAAGAAGCATTAAAGTCTAGTCGACTAGTATATGGAACTATTCTTACATTTCAATCATAAAAATGACTCGATTTTTGTGTAAAATAATGAACTATCTTACAAAATATCCAGGTACACTCATATAAAATGTATTTTGATAATATTTAAAAAATCTTGCTTTCGTTGTTGTAGGTAATTCTGTACATTTTTACATTAATTTAATATCATCGGATGTCAAATTCCATTCTGAAGGTAATAATTGTACAGTCATTTTTGTACAATAAATAAAGAAGACAAAGATAAATCAAATATATTTTCTACCATGAAGGACTTTCTGTAACCGTCATTTTTTTCTTAAATAGATGTCGCACCAAATTTTTTAGCTAAATGAGCAGAGGCATTAGGAAGTATATAAAGGTTCGTACGTGGCTTATTTTTTCGTCGATTACGTTCCCCTACACGAACACGTGCTTCATTTAGATCATTTTTATCGCAATATATCGAAGTCGATTTTAAAAGTAAGATAAGTTAAAAGAAAAATTAACTATTAATAATTATTTATTTCAATAGAAGTTCAATCATGCCAGCTGCCAGTGCAAAACGTAAACGAGCTAATGAAGTACATAGCGGTAAAATAACACAACGTGGTAATATTCCACAAAAAAAAACTGAAGCTAAAACACCTGTCGGCCCATGGCTCTTAGCATTGTTCGTGTTTGTTGTTATCGGCTCGGCTGTCTTCCAAATAATTCAAAGCATTCGAATGGCATGAACGTGAACATTTTTATTTATTCTCTCTCTTGTTTTCGTTTTTTAAAATCTTTACTTTGTTTTTTTTGAAGAATGATTGTATGGATACTGTTCATTAAATGATAGGAGCAGTCAACCACATCTTCTTTTCTTCTTTATAAACATTATTGTTGCTTTTTTTTTCTTGTTTGTATTTCATTTAACAACAGAGATTTACAGACATATATTCGTTTTTATTTATCTTAAGAAAACAAATGCATTCCAGCTACATTATAAAATTTTGAATAGAAGAGGTTTTTGGAAGTTTATTTTTTAGTGTGAACATTTTATTTCCTTTTTTTTT